TGTCACGTGGGTTACACCCTTTCTTCACGGGGAAAACTCTGCCTTCGATTTTCCCTCGTTAAGATCGGATGCGTCGTAGGACGATTTCTAATTCCAATACCTCCCAGTCGACTATATATTCGTGTCACATGTTGAATAAAAAACATTTCCTAAACTTCACACCGTTTTGACCGCTCGAGTCGATGACGAAAGTTGCGATACTTGGACAAGATTTCCAACATCTTTCCTCGCATTGTATGAGATTTTTGTGATCTACTTTATCTTACATTAGTGAGCATCGAGTTAAATCAAATTCACTTTACATTTTCATATATATATAGCTTCGTTATATAAATAGCGGTAGAGCAGTAAAAATCATATCAAGGAACACGTGCTGGCTCGAATGGTCAGAGCGGCACATAACGAATGAAGAGCATCTTGAATTCGGTAGCATCTCGAATTCGTATCCGGAAGAATATAGCGTACGTCACCCGGTAGGACGAACAGCTGCTTTCGATCGGTGACGGCGGGCGTTTCTTATCGGACCGTTTTCGAATTATAGTTTCGAACGATGATACGCGCGCTGTTGAGTGCACACGATGCGGGAAAGGAAGTAGAAACTGCAGTGAAGAAGAGAGAGAAAGAAAGAGAGCGAGCGGCGCTCAAAGGCACGTTTATCGGACGATTTACAGCTTTCAGCATCCTCGTGCGGCGACAACGACGGCCGGTCATAATTTGTTTACTTGTTATATTGTCGCTCATTAGCGGCTGCGAGACCGGTCGGAGTTATGACCGACGGGTCGCGTCGCGATGCGGAGAATCGACGGCCGCGATGCACCGCTGTCACGAGTTATTGGAACGGCGATACATCCGGCCAGAGATAGATCTTAACCTTCAGTGATTTGAATAGATAACGCGCTTCCTTTTCTTTTACTATTTCGAAGGGGTCTCCGTGTGTGTGTGTGTGTGTGTGAACATTGCTTGTAAGCCCACTTTGGCCTAGGAAAATCGGTCCCGGAGGTCCGTTCGCCGTTCGCTCGGACTCCACGAGAACGATTGGCGATATGTCGGCTTGCTAATGTATCGCCTCCGCGATAATTAATTCCGGTCACATGAATATATATATTACGGGCGAGGAGAACGACTGTTTACACGTCTCGAGCTGATTTTTTAATCGATCGAAAACAAAGACGGTGACGCACAGGTCCGATTAATTTTATGTGCGCGAATCGATTAAGTGCCGTGACGCTCGCGCTAATTTTGGGGGCGCAGCGTCTCCCGTCTGCGTTCTTTCCTACGTTGTTTCCTTCTTTTCCATTTCTGCGCGACTAATGAATGTCGTTGAATTGTATACAGCCAGTCACACAAAGGTCGCAGCGTTTCCTTTTTCTGATAAGTTTCGGCATCGCGTCCGATAGGAAAATTTGTTCTTTTCTTTTTTTTCTTTAATCATTCTCAGGAGATATATTTTCCTATTGGATACACGAGATGTATTGCGAAACTTATGGAGAAGAAAGCGTTGCAAGCTTTTTGTGAGTGACAACACATACAATATTCGTTGGATTAAATAATCTCGCCGAACGCTACAATTAATGAAAAAGTTTCTTGTCAAATTAATTAACACATCATTATTTATAATTATTTAACACATTTGATATGTCCTAAATGATCCATTCGAATTTCTACGTTAATTTATTACAAGATAAATATGTTAAAAATTAATACAAATATTATTTAAAAATTAATACAAATTAATTTAATACGTTAATCGACACTGAAGTATGTGTTATTTTAACGCTTACACACGTTGAATATCGACACAACACACAATCTTGAAATAACACAAACGCAATACGTTAAATTAGCATATGGGTATGTTAAAAATTTGACACAAAAACGACCGACTTTAACACAAGTACAAAATCTATTTTACCGTGTATCGTGACTTTGCAATTAATATTAATATTTGTCCGCATTATTATCACTACTATGTGCGCTCGTATATATATCGGGCTAAAATATTACACGACTGCATACCGTAGAACATCTCTCTATATATAATCGCTCGGTATAATAGTGCGAAATGGCGGAATATTCTCGGCGCTTCGGCGTTACATAATCAGCTGGTCGTCTGGTTGCCAAATACAAAAAAAAGGAAAAAGCACCGACGGTGTAGCACATTTGCGATGCGGCGCGGACAGCTTCTCGCTCGCCACACTCGTTAGAGGATTCCCTTCGCGTCCTCCTCCCGCGGAATATTTTGGCTCACATAGCGCGGATAATCCGGCTTAGTGTCCTGCACGACGACGTGAATGAGAACGGCGTCTCGTTTTATCGCGAGCGGACGCGTCACCGCTGAGCCGATTCTGTCTCTCTCTCTCTCTCTCTCTCCACGCCCGCTCGCGCCCGAAATTTGGGAACGAGACGTCGTCCTCTCGCTCAACCGACAGTAGGCAGATGCCACTTGAAATCCCGCTACCTTCCTTCGCGATACCTTCGGCGTCCCGAGCCGATCGACCGGCTCTTTTTTTCGAGAGCCCGGCTCTTTGATCGATGTATCCGGCATCTCCTAGGACGGTTCGTCCTCCGCGGTTCGCCGCGAGATCTCTCCGGGTCTCTTAATTAAATGCATCTACGGCTCTTCTCGTAATTGATCGTCAATACGTTCGTATTTTAAATGTATACATCTTTGGTTGTGCTTCTTTAATATATATATTTTTAATATATATATATATATGTCGACATGTTCACACATTAGATACGTAATACGTGGATTATATGATGTTCGTTCATTCAGCACGCTGTACTTTTGTCGGAAATGTAAGTGATTCGTTAAAAGTGATCCGCAACTTGAACAGGTGCACTTCCTTTCTCCCTGATGCGAGGAAGGCCGGGATTAGACAGGCTTATTGTTTGATATCAATAGGGACTGCCCGCTTGATAGCTCGTAGATACGCAGAACGTAACGGGACGCTTTATCTCACATACCATCGTCCCGAAGCAACGTTTCGGCCTATTAAATGCGCCCTTTCAAAACTCGACGAATTTATGTCGCCTAATTAGGGTAATGGAATCTTTCTCAGTAATTTGGTCGTGAGAAACTACTTATGTCGGGGTGCGCCTATTAGTTGGAAAGTATATACGTAACGGACGTTTTTGAATATCCCGGATATTTACACTCGTCGCGATGAAACTTGGAAAAAGTACGTGAGTCCGAGTAGTTTACGAATGTCGGCCGAATATCGAGTGCTTTCGGGAGAAATGTATGAAGATGACTTGGTAGATGTTTTGGTAGACATGCGAGTTACACACAATTAACTATGTCTACTCATTACGACAGAATCGTCTTCTACTTTCGGTTTTGAAGAAATCGTCTATTGGTTTTGAAACGCTAAAATCTTTAAATTACTGTAATTTCATTAAAATGATGTGTTACTTTAACGTGAAGAATGTGTCAAAAAGTACATAAATATAATGTTAAATTAACACATTTACAGTACTTGTCATTATACGTTAACAAGATGAATCTGTTAATTTAACATCATATTTATCTATTTTTAAACATATGTTTTTGGTATACTTTTTAATGTATTTCCCATGTTAAAGTAACAAAATTCAATGGATCGTTTTCAACATAAAAATTTTCGTTGGGTTTAAGAATTAAAAAATGAATAAGTATCAGTACCGTCAAAATAGATTTTTACCTGTTTATAGATCATCTAAATACACAGTAAAAAATGTTGTGTTAATTTAACATAAGGTGGATACGTTGAAAAGTAACACAAATATTATGTCAGAAATTAACCAAATTAATACGTCGACACTGAAATATAAAATGTATTATTTTAATACTTTACACATATTAAATACTGACGCGGCACAAAATGTTGACACAACATAAACACAATGTGTTAAATTAACACGCATGCCTGATAAAAATTTAACGCAAAAATTTTAACCGATTTTAACGCAGGTACAAATTGTTTTTTACTGTGTACCGCGCAAACAATCCTCTAGAGCATCAAAGTAACGTCAAAATTCCGACTCGGATTTGTCAAATTTTTTCCAGCGCGATCATTTCGCGATTCGGAAGCTCCGGAATCTCGTGGTTCTCCGCTCCTCGCGATTAGCGCGTGTGCGGAATAATGCAGCTTCAGCGCGATCCCTCGCGTGGAATCTCGAGGGCTCGACTCCGCTCTCGAGAAAAACGCGGTTGCGCGTAACTTTCATTAGAACCGCCGAGTTACACGGCGGAGGATCTCACGCTTTGTCCGAAAAACGCGACTCCGAGCCAAGATTTTCCAGGGTCTCTCTCGCGGCGCCTCCAGCGCGCAAGTGTATATATATATATGTGTGTGCGTGTATGTATGTGTGCGCGTATCTCGTGTCTCTTCTTCGTCGAGCGAATATAATTCTTCGACGAACGCGACGTCCCTTCGTACGTTCCTTGCTTCATCCTGCCGGACCGATGCGCGCCCGACACACAGCCGTCGGTTTCTGGCTCGAAGAGGAGAACGAGGTCCGCTTTTTATTCCAGGGAACGCGACTCGGAAGCCTCCAGCGTGCGTCCACCGTCTGACAGCGGCCGAGATTGACTCGTGCACGTTTCTATTCCAACCTTTCAGGATTCTACCAGGTGTCGTCGACGTGACTCCGCGGTCGGGCATCGCGCGCGCGCACGATTCGCGCGACTCAGAAGCTCAGGACCGATTTTCGATTTCGCGACGAGTCCCCCTCCGCGAGTCGTCTACAATTCCCGCCGCTCCAAACAGATCCGATATTTTCTATTTCACACACACCGAAGACACACCCTCTCTCCTGATATCTCTCCGAGAAGCCGGGCGAATTATTTTCAGCAGCATATGCGAGGACGACGGGATGTCCTTTTAATTACCGAGACCGAACACGCACACGAGCGAGCGAGATACGAATCTAATAACAGTTGCATGATAGTCTATAAGTGAGCCCGCTTAATCGAGCAAACGATCTAATCGAACTGTACATGTTGATCGGGGGTCTAGGCAGATGTTTCCTCAGATGAAGTTCCGAGTTTCCGGTCTGGACGCCAAGGCCAAGTACATCCTTCTGCTGGACATCGTGGCCGCCGACGACTACAGATACAAGTTCCACAACAGGTAGTGGTTTTGTGGGGTGTAGGGGGAGCGAAGGCACACACTCGTAAAAATATAATCATCGCGGACAGTCGGCGTGTCTTAACGATCTCGAGGGCCGTTCCTCAACCGTGTTACACCGTTATCTCTAAAAGAAGAAAAAAGAAAAACGCACCGCGGCGACCTTGATTATTCGTTTTATCTTTTATATTTCCCCGAGTACCCCCCTCCCCTCGTATATACTTGAGATGTCATGAGAGAAGATTCGGCGGGCATAAAGTGACTTTTCAACGGAAACTGTTCCACGGGGAGATCCTTAAGGCCCGATACTGTCCGTTCTGAAGGAAAGCGAATAAGCAGCGCGCTCCGTAATGCGAAGATACAAATTTTACGCGCGCGCGCGCGCGCGCGATTCCCACTTTTCCCGTGGGAATAACGAAGAAACTCAGCGGTGAACGATCGAACTAACGTATGCTGTGTTTGTCTTTTTTTGCGATTGCAAAATTGTTCGCAGACGCATGTTTCCCGCGTATAAAGTGAGGGTGTCCGGATTAGACAAGCAGGCTAGCTACATACTTCTAATGGACATCGTGGCATCGGACGAATGCCGATATAAATTTCACAGCAGGTGATATCCCTGACCCCTCCGCGATCAGAGCGATCCTGGGTCATTCTTTCTTCTGAATTACGGCTCGAAGTCGTCGTGTCGCACATCGTTCGGCGGATCGGACGATGCGTTCCGATCGAACGTATCGCGAGTATCTCTCTTGCTCGGGAATGAAGTCGAGTAATTTTGGGGATCGCACATTACGAAGCGATGATCCTGGATCGTACTTGATCGAATCATGTTATCTTTTTTATCAAGAGCCTCTCCTCTGAAATAAGTGTGGAGCGTGCGCTGCGAACAATTCCTCATACTCGTCGAAAATAATTTATTCGTCATCCTGCATGCCACTGAACCGCGCGATTCACCCCGCGTGAGATCGGTTAGTCTCTCTCTCTCTCTCTCTCTCTCTCTCTTTGCCGCCGAGCGTAAAAGTTCCGTTCCCCGCGCTTTTCTTCTCGCGTGCGGAGAAACCGAGCGCTTTCGCGCGAGTGTCCCGCGCGAGTGCTAATTCCCACGTGTTCACTCATTAAATGCTACTTATCGGCACATCGTCGTTACGTGAGTAATATCAAAAGGCAAAAAAAAAGTCACGAACGTTTCATCTTCTCGTAGAAGTCGCTACACACGGGAGAAGACCCATGGGAAATTATTTCGACTTGTATGGGGATCGCAAGCCTTCACATTAGCTGACCGAGACGCCTCGCAAATTCCGTGCCACTGCATTTCTTCTAATTACGTCGCGCGTTCGGTAAAGATTGCCGAAATTCGAAACACCGTTGCGCGTTTGCCATCACTCGGTATCGCAGTTCGCGACTCGAGGAGGAATTTCTTCATTGGCTATCGCTTCGAATTCGTCTCTCGTAGTTTCATCGAGCGGATTACACGCTCGCGTAACTGCACCGGGAGAAAGATTGGATTTCAGAAAATTTCTCGAATTGAGACTACTTTGTTCCTTGGAATAGAGCGAACAAGCTTTTTCTCTGTACATGTGTGAAAAAGTGCAGAGCCGATCCTCTCTCCGGTGAATTTCGGCCGCATTTTTTCCGATGACCGCGCGAAACTCTTCCACCCGACAGACGTCGACACGACGGAGGGGCCCCGATTAGCGCCCTCCACCTCGAGTAAACTCTCGCGAGGCATCTCGGACACCGGCGTTCGGAGACAATCGAAACGCAGACCACAATGAACGATTACATCACGCCGGCGACCGCAGCCACTTTGGAACTCGTCGAACGAGTTCTTCCCTACGGTCCTTCGCGCTCGAGTTTTGACCCACCTGCGAGAAATACTACGAACCACGACGGGCACGCCCTCCCTTAAAAGACAACAATCGCGCCGATTGATGCTCGCGGCCCGGGGAAACTATTCGAGCCAACGGGGGAACAGGGTCACTTCGATCCCCCCTTTCGGCCCGTTCCGGATCATCGCTGGCTCGGTCACTTGCGTTGAATGATGCATTGGCGAGGAGGTACCATTACCTCGCAAGGAAATCGTTAGGATTTGTTCGATTATCGGGAGCGCACGGTCGACTTTCCTCCTCGATCTGAATTACAGCCGAGAGAAAAAGAGAGAGAGAGAGAGAGAGAGTCTAGATGTATAAGACACCGAATGAAACATTTTTAAATAAGGGATGAATTACAATCTGGTTTATACGGATGTTTATACCGGTGTGTATTTCGGATAAGCGCAGGATATGAATTAAATATCCTTCGTAGAATTTCTCTCGCGAGGCGCGCAGGAGCTAAACTAAATGCAAGATAAAGAGCCAGCGTTGAAAAGAAACGACAGTCCACCGCCGAACCGGGATTCTTTCGCTACGGTCTGCGTTTCCGATCGTCCGACGATTCGGGTCCGTCGATGACGAGGAGGATCGCTCGCGCGATCCTCGTCGTCGTCGTAGGGGCGCGTTTCAAGCGGCGTGTCACGCCGACAATCCTCTAATGCATTTTTATTCCCGTGTTGCGAGCAGTAGGTGGATGGTAGCGGGTAAAGCGGATCCGGAAATGCCGAAGAGGATGTACATACATCCGGACTCGCCGAGTAGCGGCGAGCAGTGGATGCAGAAGGTCGTGAGCTTCCACAAACTCAAGCTCACCAACAACATCAGCGACAAGCACGGCTTTGTAAGTACTGTACGTAACGCCAACCAAACAATTACTTACTTACTAGCCTCTAAGCTTGCTCCTTTAGTTTGCAATTAATCGCTAACTCGGAAGACCTACCCGAGGGCGCGCGTGCACCTCAGACAGGTCGATTTGAATCGCGAAGCGAATCCGTGATCGAAGTACGGCATGAGAGAGACACGTTTCGTTCGTCGCGCGCGAACAGATTTTCTCGCGATCACGATGACGATCGAAGGAACATTTTTGCGCGACATTTCTATATAACATTTTTCATATTTTCACGTAATAAAGAAGCCACAGGGGTTTTCATCCCGCAAACGTACGCACCACTTAGGCACCACTGTGCGGCGCGGATACATATCGAGCCTCGATGACACTCGATTCCACACGCGGCTGGAGTTCCACCAAAACTGCAATATCGAAATCTGATATTTCTGTATAAAACGCGATTTTATGCGGTCGATGTTCCCGTGTTGCGACACGTCGCGCGCAATTAGCCGTCGAAAAGCCTCGAGGTGGTTACTGAGGCTGCGCCCTCCCGCCTCCTTTCCATCTGGCTTCGCGTTCGAATAATTATAATCCTCGGCGTTAATCGGCCAGCAGCGAAGAGGCCGGCGGGACTCGAGAGAGAGAGAGAGAGAGAGAGAGAAATCGGAAACGGAGCAGTCGTATTCCTTCAAAACGGCATCTCTAGAAGGAGATGCTGTCAGGCGCGCGCGCCTGGATCGGATTTCCGCGCGGATTCTTACCGCTATGTAATCCTGGGATTAAGTTATCGCGATGGATTTCGCCGTCAAGTAGTTTTGCCCTCTTTCCCTGCCTCCCCCCAACCACGGCTTCGCACTCCCTTATTCATCCTCTCTTCCTCTCTATTAGCCTCGGCCTCCTTGGCCCCCTTCGCTCTCGTCTTTTCTCTCTCCGACGAAGAGGGCGCGCACGGAAGCCAGTATTAACTAAGGAAGACTGCCCCCTTTCTGCGTCCACGGTGGTTCTCTGTCTCTTTTTCCCGACCTCGGCCTTCTTTTTTTTTTGCGAATCCTTTTTGCGGCAACCCGTCGGCGTCCTTTGAAGGATCTTGCATCGTTGGCTCGTGAAATCTAGTCCTCCTTACCCAGAGCCCACCGATGTCAATGGCTGGCTGTCGTCTCGCGCTGTGCGTGGCAGACCGACCTTTGTTAAAACCACTCTCCTCCCTTCTTCCTTCCCTCCAGTATCCTCTCTCTCTCTCTCTTTCTTTTTCTCCCGACGTTTCTCCCACTCCCTTTTTTCGTAAACACTCGCGTAAACGCGTTTATGCGCTGGCTGGAAGGAAGAGAGAGAGGAAGATGGAAACTTGGAGAACTTGCGAGAGTGAACGAGATGAATACGAAGAGAGGCAGAGAGCGGAGAGAGATCGAGTGAGAAGGATGGAAGGGGCAAGAGAGAAAGACAGCAGCGGGCAGATTGTCGCCGAAAGGTAATGTGGCCACGACATTATGCACGGTTCACCTACATCGTGCGACGGAGCATGCGTCTTCCGCTCTTAAGGTCTCTCTCTCTCTCTCTCTGTCTCGGTGCGCGGGGAGTCTGGATCCAGTTTGTGCACGAACCCAGAAAATGCCTCTCGAAAAAAAGAAACCCACCGAACCCCTTCCTCGCCGGCTAATAGACCACGGCCCTTTTCACCTGGCCCAACCCTTTCCAGATTTACGAAAGATCTGGAACGGAAGGGTCCTTTGAAGGATTATGTGTTTTTCACGCTACCTCAAAGCGCGAGTCTATAAAAGCGATCTCATACGAGTACGGTGGAGTATGCTTGTTAAGTAATGCGAGGTATCGTTATTTCCTGACGGGAAGCGGAGAACGCCTGGATCTCTTCTCCCCTTGGGGACGCGGTATGAGAGAGAAAAAATAGGGATAAATGCGGACGCACAAGTTGCGCGCGGAAATTATGGCCGATTTCCACTTAATTCGTCGCGCCTTTGTTCCGTGTGATCAGCCTCGAGCATCACCTAATCGTTACCCTTTGCTGAATGATTGAATTAACGATGGAACGATAGAAACATTAATGCAAACGTAAACGTGCGCTCTGCAACCCCGCGAATACGTGTAGTTATTTCTCGTCCGCATACACACGAGTTTTCTTCCGCCGCTCGATTTTCGTCGAATCAAGCCGTCAATTCTGCCACTCGCAGGGCCCGGAGTTTCGAGAACCGTCATCGGGACTTGACTTTGGCTTTAACCCTAATTTTCGCAACCCTCTTCTAGTGCCCTACTTAGCGAGGGCGCACGCGGAAAGAAAGCACAGAAATTAGCGTAAACAACGCCGGGAATCCTCTCGAGTGTAATCCCGAGCGTGTCGGGATAGTAGCGGGGCGAACGGCGCACCGGGCCCTTTGTCGGGGAAAGCCCGGCGTGGCAAACAAAAACGAGACACTGCCGAGTCACGGTCCTCCGAGAGATGTCTTCGAGGGCAATCCCGAGGTCCGCAAGGCCCTCGATGAGCAAATATCGGTGAAAGGCCGTCGAGGACCGCAAACAGGACGCACCGACGGCACGTCAGCGGTGCACGAAAGCGGTCAGAGACATCCCGTCGTGGCGACGACGGAAGGTGGAAGGACCTCGTTGCTCCCGTTTTATTAAAGTGACACCGCGTGCGCTTCCTCGGACGCGCCGCTGAGCATTAAGCGTGGGAATGTTTGACAGGATAGAAGCGGGGGCCGGATCCGTTCCTAGGTAGAAGCCGAGGATGTGCATATGTACGCGGCGGGAGATCCATTGTGTGTGCCGAGGTTAGCGGTGGAATAATTTATCGGGATTTATTTACCTAAGAATAAACACTATTTAAAGGAGAGAGAAAGGGAGAGAGGTCGGATTCATTTTTAACCTTACGGAGGTCGCGCGGACGACAGGTGTTATCCATGCGTACTAGAATATATTTCCCGCAAAATACTAACAAGCGTCCATCTTTTGCGCCTCCGCGTATCCGTCAGTTAGGGACTGTTCCTGTCCATCGCGGGAAATTGAAAACAACTCGCGGCCAGCAGTGCGTTGTTTTCTCTGCGGGTGAGCACTAAATGATAAAACCAGAGGAGAGCGCCAAAGAGAGCACTCGATAATAAAACCACCGGAATATCGTCGCCGAAAGATGCACAAATTCGATTTCTCCCGAACATTGCAATTATATGTGCGTAATGCTCGCTTTGAAAAAAATGATCGATTATTTATGCATCGTATCTTGATGTTTGAACACAGGTCATTTCCAAAATAACGTTGATCCCCTCGCAATTCTCGCTCTCGATTTGTTTTCTTCGTTCTTGAATTGACGAGAAGGAAGTAAAAACGGCTTTAGTTTGGTTTTCACGCAAGACCTTTCGTAATTGTTACTTCCATGTAAATGGATATTATTACTTTCTGAAGCGATCTTTCGATCGAAAATGTCGATTTAAAATGGAGGATAATGTTCGTGCTCCGCTGTGCACCGCTCTCCGGGCTCCTGAAATTATATCGGCCGAAAGCCGATATTTTCGTCCTTTTAACTAGCCTCGGCCGGCAATCCGGTGGCAAGTCCACGATACGCCCCTCTTTATTAATTGTCCACGATCGTCCCTTCTTCGCGGCCGCGAGACGCGTTATCGTCATTACGGCTCGCCGCTAATGAAGTAGTTCGATTTGGCAATCGAGTCGCCGCGCCGCAGGACACCCGAAATACTGGAAATACTGGAATCACGGCCGACCTTCCTCTCCACGTCGCTCCACCCCGTCGTTAGACGCGTCCTTTTCTTTTATTCTTACCTCCGCGACGCGCACGTCACGCAATTCTCTCTCTCTCTCTCTCTCTCTTTCTCGGTCGCGATTGCTTCTCGACAAAACGCTTCCAGCTGTATCCAGATACACGCCGCCCTTATACCAGATACTCGAATGACTTCATTGTCCCGACAGTTCCCGAAGCCGCTAGTCATATTCCTCAAAGGGCTGTCGCGGCCATTCGCATGCGAGCCCGTCGATGCAATTTGTCAAGTGCGCGTAGGACATGCATTTTTATTTTCAAGCCGGACGGGTCTTCACCGATGTATTCTACAAGCGGGCGTACTTGCATACCGTAGAATCGGGAGTAATTCTTTCGAGAATTAGCGGCACGCAAAGTGCCGAGCTCCTCCCGCGCGTAATGCGAAATGAATTTCGCACGATTCGGGTAAGAATTCGAACGATAAACGGCTTCGTCCTTCCATCTCCTCTTCCCCCCTCATCTAATACCGCCGGTTGCGTTTCTGAGCCGCAGCGAATGACATTCGCCGACGAGTCCCCGACGAAGATAGGAGCCCAGGAACTATTTTGCAGGCGCGAAATTTCAATATCGTTCGGTACGTGCTCGACATATCGCACGGAATTCCGCTCGGAATCAATTTCCAATTTTCGCCCCGGTCATAGCGCATGCACAGGCGCATCCGCGCGGTAGAAAAAAAAACACGCGCGGGCGCGCGCGCGCACATACACACACCCACACACACACACACATCGCACAAGCGGGGGAGAATTCCTTTTCCAATTTTCCGAAAAAAATTAAAATGGAGAACAATCGGTCTGTCGGACGGAGTCCGACCGAAACTCGATCAAATGTGCCTCGCAGCTTTAATTATCCAGCGCCCGGTGGCGAAGCTTACAGAAGCACGGTCGGACGGCGTTTCGTGATTTGTTTAGTAATGGATACGTGCCTATAGTGGTGTTCGTTAGTTGACATTCAGCGATAAATCGATACGGGATGAAGTTTACCCGAGGATGACGTTTCGACATCGCGCGCGACTTTTTCCCTTATTTTTCCAGCGATTCGTCCTTCCGGCGCCACCCACGGCTCCGGGAAACGCAAGATGCGTTCTAAGACAGCGCTCTATTCGAGGCCCGGTGGCTTCTCCGGTCTAGAGGTACCTCAGGGCGACAGTGCTGACGTAACGCGCGGCAACTTAACGTGGGCGCACCGCGTGCGGATAGGACGCGAGCGGGTTGGCCGCACACGCGCACTCTCGTCGGTA